TCTGGTGGAGGTAGCAAGGAGCTAGGTAAAAGCAACTCGACGCTGCACTTAAGATGTTGCAGAGGAGCCAACACAGAGGTTTGAGAGTCTGGAAGGGCAAATACTGAGTGGAATGTTAGCCCTGCCAATAAACAATAAAAGCCAGCGAGCAAACTCCTTGAGAGGCCCTTCACATTGTATTGTGTGAGGTTTAAACACATAATAACTTAATGAATAACTTATAAGTGCCTTTCTTCATCCACACATGGCTGCCAAGGGTCGCAGTCGAAGGAACGTCAATTATTTAACTAGACGCCTGTGGCATATTAGATAATACGAGCTCAACCCTCTACCCTTGCCTCTTCTGTTTCTCCCAATTGGAGGTGCATAATTCATGGATGACTAATAAGGCGGCAATTTGGTAGGGCCCGGCCACGCCTCCCTTTCATGTTTGGCTCCCTATTCCTTTTCATTTTTTCACATTCTCTTAGCCACCAGACCACCTCTTCAGGTCATGTTTTTTGGCCAACTTTTGTTTGAGTGCCACTTGTAAAGTTTCGTGGCACGCCATGCAATTTTTCAGAGCTTTTGTTGCCCTTTTATTATTACCAGAGGGTATAATCAGAGGGTCGTATGATTTTACCAGATCCTTGTAGTGCAGAGAATGAATCCTTTTTCATCCTATAAACAGAATGTCCTTATTTTTTCCCCTGTTTGCATTTCAAGATATTCCACTCACTCATTCCACTCCACTACCAGATATTTGGTTTTTTTTTAACCTTATTTAGATTTTATTAAAAGTCTGTATCTTAAAGGGTATCTGAAGTTTCGGTCCCATTTGTTATGTACTCCTTCTATCTTGTCTTCTTTGCTTCCTTTTTTCCCACTTTTCGCCTGTTGGGGTTTGGCTTCGACTTTTGACTGTCTGTCTGCCCAACCGTACTCCCTTCTGAAATTTCTGTTTTATTTTTTGTATTGCATAAAGCAAAGTTCAGCGGCCATTATCAGCGTGCCACAATCGAGTCAGATGGACGGGAAGTATGCTTGTACTTTTATAGAAACTGCGCGAGTGAGGGTGCTGCTTTTCGTGTTGCTACATTATTTTCTCAATGGTTATTTCAGCTACTCTTTTCTGTCTGACTGGCAGCTTATGAAATATTCAATTGAATTTAACGTATTCGACCGACTGACTGACTAATCTCGGTTCTGTCCCGATTCGGTGGTTGAGTGCCAGTGGCTTCGTGTAGTTGCAAGGCCAAGCCACAAAGTTTAAGTCATCAAAGTTGGCCTCACTGCCTCTCGCATTACTGGAGTGAACTGGAGCCATTTTTCCTTGACATTTTGCGACATAGATTATTTTGGAATAGCCTGAACTACCCTTGGTAGGCCATGGTTCTTGGGAGCCTCCGAGGGAGTGTTTCGATAAGGCTTTGGATTTGTATATATCTGTATTCAATTAAAATTGAAAATGGTGTAGAACAACAGAAAGCGATCATCAAAATAAAATGTCCAACGTCCCACTTTTCGTTATGGCAATGCTTTTGCTGCCTGTCTAAAATTCATAAGCGAAATAAAGTTATGAATAGGAAACCAAAAAAAACAAACAGAAAGTAAATATCAAACTAAAAACAAAAGACCAGTAGAAACAAGTTTATTGAATATTCAAAATATATTTTGCATTGTTGCAGCATTTGTAAAAGCTCGGACAAAAGAGAAAGGAACCCTTCACCCTATAGATTTGTATATGTATATATAGATAGGTTGTATGGCTGAATAGCCCATTCCAGACTTATACACCAACTTTTCCTTTGTTTTGTTTTCGTATTTTCTTTGTTTACTCTTGGAAAGTGAGGCAGAGAAGGAAATTTGTGGTCGTTTTTGTACAGAAATTTATTACATTTGCTTAGCCCGAGTCTGAGACAGAGATGGGTGTAGAGTTTTTCTGCTTTCCTGCGTTCTAGCAGAACTTTTTGCTTCTTGTGCCACTTTTCTCTCTATATTTATGTTTGCTTGGAAACAACTTTTTGGGGCAGCTCTTGTACACATTTTCTAAGAGAAGGAAGTTGCGCCTTTGTTCTACTGTCGCTGCTGGAGAAGGAAGAGGAAAAGGGAATATCCTGTTGCCCTGTTCCAAGACTATGTTCAATCTTGGAATAACTATGCTCGGACTGGTAATTAAGCAATCGAGAGTGACTTGATGAGTAGCCTTCAGCTCAAGGAATCTGCAATTAATCAGGAATGTCGAGGAAAAATCTGGGTTGGAGAAATGCCCTGAATTCGACCTGAAAGGGGACTCTGAAGAATGTTTTTTTTTATTGTGAATCTACATCAACATATATGCCGCACACAATTGGAAATCAAATTTAAAGAATATCTTTGATTTTAGTACTACACACCCTTTTTCCCACATCCCTTGCCATTTCTTTGCCCGTTTGTTTTGGTTTGTTGTGGCGGAGCTAAAACAAAGAAAACACATTTTTGGCTAGTTCAAAACCAAACCAGACCAGGCCTCTACCGAAGCGCTTGGCGCTTCAATTTGGAAATTTATCGGGCACTATCTGCATTTTTTCATTGTGCCGGCTGCTGGTCCGCAATGTACGCTATTGTATCACTTTGCATAATAGCTAACGAACTAGGTTTTTTCCACATTCCTTCTTTGGTCTGGCTCGGGCTCTACATCCTTGCTGGGGTCTGTGCCTGGGTCTAGGTCTGGGCTTACAGCTCTCCAGCGTGGAGCTCGGCATTCGCTTCATTGGCTTATCAATCAACGGCCAAAAGCGGGAAATGAATTCGTTTACTCACAACAGGCGAAGAGGGAGAGGGCATGGAACGGTCAGTTGCGGAGCAGGCCCAATGTGCAGAGGGGGTTTTTTTTCTGCAGCCTCGGCCGGATGCCATTTTAATTAAGTGTTGGCGGTGTTGGGATCCGCGGCAAGGACGAAGCCCGGCAGGAGTCCATGTCTCCGTGTGTGCCACCGTGTCTCCTGACCAAAAATAATTTAACATTTAGAGTGGAGAAGATGTCTCGGTCCATGCTCGAGCAGGGAGTGACAGCTCGGAACGAGACAAGAGAAAAAGAGTGTGGCTTAGGGCCGGTTACTGCGCTCCATTGCGACTGACAGTTTAATTATTATTTTTGCAAATGAGTTAATTAATTGAGATACCTCAGGAATTCTCTGTTGGCATGGGTTATTTGGAGGTGGATGGGGGTTATACAAGTTATCTTACGAGGGGATAAATCCAGGCACATTCACAGCTAACGCCACTAGGAGGAATACCCCAAAGAAAGGATTTACTTTCGACTGGTAATGAGTTTTATATGTACATATTTTTTGGGACTTTCACGTAATTTTGTACAAGACAGGGCACTGCATCCGCTTTAAAAACCACAAATTGCCAACAAATTGTTCTTTGAGGTTTCATGGCTGTGAACAAGAAAGATACTAAATTTCCCATATTTCTTATTTTTCTGCTCTGACTTTCTAGGGATCTCTCCTAGACTTTTCTGGGATTAACTACAGCACAGTGTTAACAACCGCTTGATTTGAAATTTTTTCCTGTTGCTGTTTCTCTGCATACTCAAATGTAAATGGCAGAAGCAATTAAGCACACAGCGGAGAGATAAAAAGCCAAAGGAAAAACCACGCATAAAGCAGACACAATTACAGAAAACCCGCCAGCGGAGCAAAGATTAAAAATGTGGAAAGGATGAAACTGGGATGTACCTAAAATCCGCTCTGCAAATAAGGTAAAGGACTTGATGAATGTGAGATTATTGGCTTCTCCTTGTAAAAGACATACAAAAGAGAGGCTCTGTAAAATCCGTTAATGTGGTCGACGGCTACAAGTAGAATATTAAATGCAGGCACATGTGTAAAAATATATATTTCATTAGAAAACTGTCAGAAGCCCGCTGCTGTGCCTTTTGTGTTTCAAAGTTAAATTCAAGACTTTTTTTTGTTGAAATTTTGGTAGAATGAATGGGACCCAAGAGCGCCCTTGGCATATATGTTCCACTTCATTCTGTAAACTAACGGAACAACTATTGGCCACAGACTTTAAAAATATAAACAGCGAGATGCATATGATGCAAATCATATTTATTATGGCAAGAAATGATCAACAATAGAGCCGCGACAATGCACATTCCATTAAAGCGGAAGCCGCATTCACATGACAGAGCTTTAGAAATTTTATTTAGTAATTTATTGAATTTTTAAATATTTTTTACACGCCCTGTCCGGAGAGCACAAAAGACCAAGCTCCGTTTATCGTTTGCGGACGTTTCGCTTTGTGGTTTTTCCATAGAGCTTTTCGCTGGGTTGTTTGTGTCCATTTACACATATTAAGAATTTTTTAACTCCTTTTTTGTTGGCTTATTTCAATATGCTTTTGGTTCGCGGCCAGCGCCAAACGTCATTTTAACTTGCATTATTTTTTGCAGTTTCAATTCGACGCTCGTCACTTGCCAGTTTTCCATTTTCGTTGGCATGCGCTAAATATTTTTTTTAGTTTGTTTTGGCACGAAGAGGAAATTCCCATTTATAGAGCGGCCACCTAAAGAGCAGCTGTTCGTTAGGGTTTGTTATTTGATTCCAATGCTTTCGTACCTTTTTTGGTCCATTATGAACTTATCTGAGTGTTTAAAAGAGTCCGTACAGCAGAGCCTCCAGTAGGGTTTCTCTATGGCTTGATGATGAATCAAATATCGATGTGTGACACTCTGGGCACAGTAACTATATATAGTATGTATACATATGTATTTTGTTAGTAACATAATAAAAGAAAAAAAACATCAAAATATACCGATACAATTTTTATTACAATAATTGAAAATACATCTGCCTCGCTACTTTTCATTTACTGAAACACAATTTTGATTCAAAATAATTCTGATTCTGATGATTTGCACCTTTATCTAGGGTGGGGTTCATCGGGCGGCAAAGCTTATAACAGAGCCGATAGCTTCATTGGACGGATTAGAGCGGTGGAGAGGGGGAGAGGGAGAACCAAATGAAGAGTCAGAAATGCCGCTGGAGAACATGGACAAGCAGCCATTGGAAGAGGTGGTGCCCACTGCCAGCGATGATGATGAAATCATTATTGTCAGTGTTCAGCTGCCACCAGAACCATCAACGGATGCAGAACCCATAGATATCAATTTACATTAGATTTAAGTCGCGAGATGTTTTTGATTACAATTTCAATGTGTGACGATGGGGCGGGGCGGGGCGGGGCGGGGCTTGGGGTTGGCTGGAGTGTGTGTGTGTGGGTTTTTGAGGAAGAGTATCGGTGGAATCCTACACGGGGGTGGAATGAACGGACAGAGTGAAGAATTTTCAGTATCCTCCTTTCTCCATCTGCAGGAATCCAAAGCAAACCCCCTCTTTGAGGGTGAGGCCTACGGTGTCGTAGGCACCATCGGGAAGCACGGAGCACTGCGGCGGCAAGCATATTATTAGTAGGATACCCCAATAGATGATCTCTCATTAATGTACTCACTCCAAGACGCATAATCAGCTGGGCCAGTATCTCCTCTAAGGTGGCAAGCTTGTTGAGATCGTTTGTGTGAACTGGGCTGAGACCGATAAAGGTAGGCGCTGGCTGCTGGTCCGTGGCGCGTGAGCAGCATCAGCGAAGTGCCATCCACGTCCTGTATGTTAAATGCCTGAGCTTCATTCGGATAGAAACGGGCAAGATATGTTGTCACCTCCTCAACAGTCCAGGTGCACACCGGACTCATGGATTCTTCATCCATTGGTGGTTCTGGTCGCAGCTGAACACTTACAATGATGATTTCATCATCATCGCTGGCAGTGGGCACGCCGCTTCCAATGGCTGCTGGTCCATGTTCTCCCCCGGCATTTTTGACTCTTCCTTTGGTTCTCCCTCGGGGGAGAGCCCCCGTTCTAATCCGACCATTGCCGTTCTGATTCGGATCCTTCAAAATAAGTTTGACCTTGGACGTGCGCGCGAATTGTTGCGCTGCACGCGATCCTCCTCGCTTCTCTCTCCATTCACCGATGTATTCTTCGGGCACACCATTTTCAATCAAAAATCACAATCCCGATTACTAAGCGGAACAAAAAAAGTTACGAATTATTTTTGACGAGTAGTAAAATGTACAGAATTAAAAATTGTTTTGTTGGAGCGGGAGATGTTTACACTTGGAACGAGAACGACTAACTGAATATCTACTGAAGAGAGCTGAGAAACTAAGCTACAAATATTGATGGAGAAGTCAACGGCTACTTTGGGATTTATTTTATGTTTGCTACGAACTATGAGGGCATAATCAAAACTTCTGTATTGAAGTAGGCGCTTGGTTCTAAATGGAAAAAATTCAAACATTGTTTTCACCGACGATTATGTGCCAGCGCCTACCCATATCGGTCTCAGCCCAGTTCACACACACGATGGAAAATTGTATGCCTGATGAATGTTGCAAGCATTTAATGGCTTCATACAACTTGGCCGACGTGGCTAGAGTCGCCTCTTCATCATGGAGCTCGTTTCGGTGTTCAGTGGGTGTGTGTGCTCAGCTCTCGTCATCATTTCCATCAGGCTGAATAGCTTTTCAAATGCCAAATTTATGCACATTCCGTCAGAGCCGCTACGACGACAAACGAGAGGAAAGCACACGTCATTTCGTGGACTCTGGCACAGGATCCTGGGGGCCAACACACACACTCACTCCCCCACTCACTTTCGCTCTCTCACTCCGTATAGGAGTATTTTTTGCAATGCCGAGTTTTGGAATTGAAATTTTCCATTTTTGGCGCCCAAGTGGGATGCAGGTTATTCAGGACCTCCCCGCACTCCAAGACCCGCAGTGGCGATGCCTGTGGCATGCCGTGTGTGACATACGTCACTTTTTTGTATTGCCTTCAATCATCAATCAATTTTTTCCAGCATACTTTTTGGGCCGCTGCAGTCGTACGTCGGGGCAGGACCGAGACGTCATGAGCCAGCTGCCAAGGTGGTTGGGGCAGGCGCTCCTACATTGAGCTTCAGTTTGCCCAGCCAATTTAGCAAAGTTTTCGCTACTCCGTCCACTTTTACTCCTTCCCATACATCCTCCACAGAGGCATAATTCATGTTTTTCAGTCGCTTTTAAACGCGCATCACGTGCGTCACAAGGCACTGTCGTCGTTGGCCTCCGTGAGTTCCTTGCGATTTGTAGTCGCCACACATATGTATGCTGTGTACCTTTAGAGCCGCGAAGGTAAATGCTACCGAAGGTCTGGATATGTCAAACTGCATTCCATTAAAAAACTTTGGGCTGATCTTTGACTCATGCTCGTTGGATACTTTCATTTAATTGAGAGAGTTCTCCATCCAAGAGCAACGACAAAAAATGGAATGCAACGACTCCCCGGAAACCAGTCTCTCTGCTCCTCTTACAGCTGCATCCGCATCCTGTACACTCGTCGGCCAAGGTGTTGACTGGAAATTAAATAAATTGAGAATTCTGTTCGGCTACCAAAACGAGAGTGCCGACAAAAGCCTGGCATCGGGATTTTGAGCAGGAACAGGATCTGGCACACGGCATAGGCGATAGGTTTATCGAATGAAAATGGTAACACATGTTCTACTTCCTGTGGGAAGTATCTCTCATCTCACGTGCCAAAGGTTTTGAGGTTCTAAACTTCCTTTCTCTTTCCATCATTCCCTCCCGTCTGGCCTCCTGGTAAACTTCGGCACTGGCCATTGGTCATAATTAAGTTGGAAAGCTTAATTATTGTTAAATTGCCTTTCATGAAGTCAGCGAAGGGAGCGAAAGTTCACCCCGAACTAGGCCTTAGCTTAGGATCCGCCCAAGGATCGAGGTGTGGGAAAGCTACCCGGATGACACTGCCCCGAGGCCATTAATAAGACGAAACAGCATTGTCCGTAACAGGAAATTCGTATTTCCAATAGAAGTAGCAAATAAAAAAAAAATAAAGAAATTGAATTGTTAATTAGAGGAAAGTTAAAAAGTGAATTTTGATTGCCAAACCGAACTCGCTACTAATCATGAAAAATGTCAAAAAAATGACAAAGGTACGAGGTAAATCCAAAGCCAAAGGCAACCCCTAGCGGAGGAGATGTAGAATCTAAATGGTACATGTAGAATATACATGTTAGATGTATAATATAAATAGTATATGTAGATGTAGATAACAGATGTAGCAAAAAAATGTAAAATGTAAAATTTCTTTTTTTTTTTAAGTTCTAAATAATTATATGCTTAAAAATGTATATGCTGACTGAGTACGGGTATAAGTAGAGTCGCGTCCCCAGAAGCGACTCACACGTTCCTTCTCGTTTTTATTGATATTCTGCATCTATTGCAGAAAATGTATGCAAAATTTAACTATGGGAATGTGATCTACTCGACCCTTTCTCTCTCTCTCTCTCTAAGTAGAGGAAAATAAATTTATTCTTCGCACTGTATTTTCCTGTAAATATCACTCATAGGTAAACTCAATTTCTGAATCCAACGACGTGTATAAATAAATGCCGCCCATCCATTTTGTTCAGTTTTTTTTTTTGTAATTGACAATGTAAAAATATTTTGCTTAACGCCTGTCTGCATTCCTTTGCAACTTACTGCTGTGCGAGAAATTAAACAATTTAATTATATTCATATGAAAAAGTTATGATGCTTTCAGTCCGTGGCACGCCTGTTGTCCCTGGCAATAGTAAACACAGAGAATGGGTCCAAAGTGCCGGGCGACAATTGCAATTAATAGAATATGTATTTTAGGCGACCACTGATTAAAACCGCAGACACCCCAAACAACGGCAACAGAAAACGTTATTTCCATAATAATGATATTAAAAACAAGACGGGACGGCCTTATATTTATGTGCCAAATATTCTGACATCCTTGCCGAACGATGCTAATGGAACGGAATATATAAAATGTTCTTTCACAGGGCTTATTTCTCTTCCATAGGAACAAACATCTGGCCAGAATCATAGGACCCTCTGCAGGACTATGATAAACAGAACAGCAATAATTTCCTTTAGTGGTCCAGTCAGTCAGGGAGTACAGTATCAAAGAGATCAAATTAATTGCTCTTTATGACAAAAATGATCAATTATGAAAATAAAATACGTTTGTTATACCCGACAAAAAGTGGGTAATTAGTTGTGGTAAAGTGGTGTGTGTAACGCAGAGGGAAACGTCCCCCCAAAAGAATATTCGTCAGCATCAATAGCCGAGTCGATATAGCATGTCGCTGTCCGCTGTCCGCTGTCGTCTTGTTGAGCGCCGAAGAGCTAAAGAGCAGGGCAACCAAATTTGGTTCCAGCATGTGCCCCTACGTGCACCCCCCCCCCCCCCCCCACAAAGACGAAGAGCGGCACAAAGAAACATAAAACTAAAAACGCAGTTCGGAGGGCCAACTACCACTGCCGAATCTGAATCAGTCGGTCATAATATAGCCAGATGAGAAATTATCGTGCCACCCCCCCCCCCGCACGACAACGCAACTCTCCCCGCTCGCACCGCGTCGCGTTCAGTGCGCGGCAACCCCTAGCGAGGGATGTAGAATAGACATTGTATAGGATGTAGATACAGATGTAGCAAAAAATGTAAAATGTAAATTTTTTTTTCTAAAATCTAAAAAATCATAAGCTCAATAATGTATATACTGACTGAGTACGGGTATAAGTAGAGTCGTGTCCCCAGAAACGACTCACACGTTCCTTCTCGTTTTGATTGTTTTTCGCTATTTTTTAATCATGTTGTGACAAACATAATTATGCACCATGAAAGTCCAGGGGTGTGAGCGCGAGGCTGGTGGCTGTAATCCAGCCCATGCGTTCACTCCGCTCTCTTCAACCGTGCAACCTGCAAAAAATTTAAACGATTGGCCAAGCTGCAAGGACTCGCAGCCATGTGGAGGATGGGAGTGCGGTGTGGGATGGCAGTGCGGTGTGGGATGGGAATGTGTGTGTTCTGGAAGTCGCTTCTTGCTGACTGCTTATCACGCATGCTAAACAAGCAGACGACAGCAGAAGACGAGCAAGGAAAATACTGTTTGAATTTTGATAAAATATATTTGACTTTTTGTGATGCGTTGGAGCGTCCTCCCATTGCCATGGACATGGCATGCCATCTTCCGTTCTTTTTCTCTCTGTGGGTCTCTCAACTTCTTGCATTTGTTGTTGTTACTCTACATGACATTCATAGATATTTTGTGCAAGCGTAGCGTAAATTCAATTTAAATTTGTGTAAATTGGCTGCAAATGCAATTTACAGGTCCAGGCAAGGGCTAGGCTGCAACTGCAACTGCAGCTGCACACTCGTACGTGAGCTGAAGTCTGGCTGTGTGGGAGCAGCTCCTCCATGGCTGGAGATGGAGATGAAGATTTGCTATCCTGGTTATTTTGGAGCGTGTTTGACGGAAACTTTTGGGTCTCGTAACTTTGGTAATTTCTGCTAAACAAATTCAGTTTCAATTTACATGAATAATTCAGTTGGCTCCTGCTGCCGAATAGTAAGGAGTTTTTCCATCTCTCTGAGGTTGGCTCTCCCCACAAATCCAAGGTCTGATCTTTCGCCGAATACCTGTTTATTTAGTGGAAACTTTAAAGTTTCAGGTGTGGGATTTGCCACCAATGCCAACTGTTTTGAGGAGATGCTGGTTTGCACCCCACTTCGGCCGTTCGGCACTTCAGATGGCGTTCTGCTGCGAACACCAACTTTTAGACCATTCACAGCAATCGATCACGAGGGGGTTAATAAAACGTAGTCGAGGATGTTGTTGGGCCCGCAGTGGTATCAACGACAGACTAGCACCTGCCACACCACCTGGAACTACAATTCTGAACCACCCAAAACTACGGCAAATGCGTGTGGAGAAGCAAAGAAGTTTTCAGAGCCATAAAGCTGCAGCGGGTACGCTGCAACGCTACACTGGAAATAAGGTTTTATACTGCCAGTGCTTCTCCAGTGATTTACGCCAATCACTCGGCCCCCACCATGACACCCACCTTTTGATCTCTAACTTTTAAATGGAGTGAGTGTGTCTCCAGTTTGGAGAAGCAAAACTTTTTATTAGACTACAAAGTTGCAGGTGCAAGTCTGCCCTCCATCATCGCATTACATGTGATGGTAGGTAGCATGTTTTTATCAGGGTGAATATGTGGTGGTGTTTGTGAGGTACAAGTAACACACAAATATATTCAGAAAATTAA